GTGTTTGCATGTTCTCATTTGGCTACTTTTCATGATGAACTATTTTTCCTCCGTGTATTTAAGTCATCCTTTGCTTTTTGAGGGTCTGCACATGCAAATTCAATGACGCAAAAGCTCACGCAGCTGCCTGAGTTGTCTGTGTGTACCTGTAAATAGTGTGTGTGTGTGTGTGTGTGTGTGTGTGTGTGTGTGTGTGTGTGTGCGCGCTTAGGGGGACATCAAACTGTCTTTGAGGTGGAGGACTGTGCTGATAAGGGCCAGATCTCTCACGGGGCAACTTCAACAGCCACGACAGAGACAGGAATGAAAGCTCGCTCTCTCTCTCTTTCTTTCTTTCTTTCGTTCCCCTCTTCCACTACCCCTCTCTCTCTCTTAAGTCTCCATCTAATGCACAAACACAAGCAAGTGTTAGATGAAGACTGTAGAGGCTCTTCAAAGTGCACTTGTTATGCCAAGACTGCCGGGCCATTAATGAGGGCAAACTATTTTCGGAAGCAGTAACTTGGCTGTTTAAAGATTGTGTGATGTGTGTGCATGGCATAGTGTGTTCAAGTTTGTTTTTTTCTTTAAATCAAGGACTTGTGTTTAGGAGTTTGTGTGTCTACGAGTGTGTGTGTGTGTTTGCTTGAACTCTAGGTGTGAATATGCATCAGTCACTACAAAGCCCTGAGCGCCTTCCTCGCTGCTCTTTGAAGTAAAGGAAAGGGAATAATCAGAATAACCACAGAGGGGAGAGAACAGAAGCACACGGGTGAGAACATCAGTTACAGAGAGCGGGAGACTTTAAGAGGCCACCACTGTCTGTGTGTTTATTGATGAAATCTGTGAGGGGCAGTAAAACCGTGTCAGATTCACAGCCCTGACAGTGACCTGTGACCCCATCAGTCGCTGCAGGTAAACGGTCACTTAACATCCGTGCCGTCGTGCGCGGACGTGCTCGCACGCTTCCCGCGAGGGCCGGCTGTTGCTTGCGTGTGCAACTTCCTCTGGCATTGCTGTGTCAACAAACCAAAGTGGGACAGGAAGGCTGGAGCGTGCTCTGGGTGTGTTTGTGCGTTCCTCCGTGTGTGTGTGGTGTTTATGGGGAAAAGGGCAACAAATGTGACATGTGCAGGAAAAAAAGAGGAGTGGGAGAGGAAGACATGAAGAGGAGGAGAAAGAGACAGATCAAAGACCACCACGGAAGAGAAATGAGCAACAGGAGTGGCAGAAGTGACTGACAGACCAAAGAAAAAGAAGAAGAAGAGGAGGGTGAGGGCATGGTTGCTGTGTTTTTGTGCGTTCACGCTCTCCTACCAGTTCCCGTGGCAGGAAGATGTCCTCCTGCCGTGCCACCACCACACACACGTTCTCTCCCTGCTTGGTGCTGCGCAGCATGGCGACGAGTTCCTCCTGGCTACGGCCTGTCATGTCGACTCCATTCACCTACACACACAGACACAAAAAAGAAAGAAAGAACACACACACACACGGGTAGATTTAAGTGAAGTGTATAATCCACTGGCAGTGCTCCACTAAAATCCAAACTAGTAGAGAATCAGACGTCGACGCATTTCAGAAAAAATATGAAATTCCCCCTCATACCACTCATCTGTCCTTAAGATTTCTGGCTCGAACACAACTTTAGAGATTATATCTTTGGCAGAAACGAGTTCCACTGAAAACTTTTGCTGTCATGTATGTTATCCAGGTGGAAGTTGTTCTTACGATCAAGGGGATAGAAACGTGCAGTTACTCAGTTTAACCGGCAGGGGTGACACTCAATCTGCTGCTGCAAATTATGATCACACCTAGTACCTGTTATTTTGTGGGGCATCATCAGGTTGAGGTTCGTCTCTTACCTCCAGGATGCGGTCTCCGGGCTGCAGGCGGCCATCTTTAACTGCCGCACCTCTTGACAGGATGTTCTTCACCAGGATTGGCCCTGGCCCGTGGACCGAGGAGTCCCGGGTTACCACGGTGAAGCCCAGACCCTCAGTGCCTGCAGGGAGAAAAGCAGCCTGCGTCACGGTGTGCATTAGAGACTCTCCCCTGCAGACAAGACTTAATTATGAAATTTATGACTTTTTCATTTCTTTTTAATTGAATTTTCCCCTCGTCTCCCTATTCTGTCACTTTTCTCCTCTGTCTCCTTTTCCGCTCGCCACAGAGTTTTCCGTTTCTCCTACTCTTGCGTCCAACTGAAACCAGTCTGCGGTTTCGGCATCGTCCTCCACATTAACTACTGTTTAAGTGCCTGTTTTCCTCTGGGGGTTAGTTGCCTGGCTCAGCCTCGGAGCAGCCAGGAGAGGGCCGGATTAGACAGACTCTGCCTTTAATTTCACGTGTGAGCAGGTCGAACGGTGGCTGATGAAGGGAGGTAGAGGGAGAAGATGCTAGGAGGGCGGAGGGGTGGCAGAGAAAGAGGATGAGAGAAGAAGGAACCTGAGATATTATTCCCTTCTCAATCTTCCCTCCCAGGGGAGGCAATGTGATTTCCACAAAGATTTTTCTTTGTGCGTGTGATCCTACATTTATCTATGTAAACATTTACAAGTGTGTGTGTGTAAGTGTGCACGTTTTTGAGGCCACACACACACACACACACACACACACAGCCGTCAACCCCCAGAGCCTCCACCCTCTCCCTTTTTCACGGCCTCACAAGCCCCAAGCCATGAGTGAAATGTGCCACACTGTGTGTGTGTGTGTGTGTGTGTGTGTGTGTAGAGAGAGCAAAGCCGGCGTGGCATACTAAAGGCGGCGAGCGATGCTATCTGGTCTCCGAGCTAAGCCTCTGCCTGCCCTACATTAGCGCACCTAAACCTCACCGCCTGTCAATCACAGAGAGAAAAGAGCCTGTTGCCAAGGGAGAGGGTGCTAGAAACCCCATAATATCCTCTGCTCTGATCTTGCATCAGGTGAAAGGATAGAGGGAGGGGGGGAAAAAATCAAACAAAAGGAGGATGGAGGGAGAAGGAGAAGAGAAGGTGCTGGGGAAAAAGAATCGTATGAAAAAAAAGCTGTGAATGGAGCTTTGAGCTGGAGAGTGTGGAGCCCTTCTATGCTTTCATCAGGGGATCTACTTCCTTTCTCACCTGGACCTGGTGTGTGGGGGTATGTGTGTGTGTGTCACCCAATTACTGCCATCCTTTCAGTGCCCCTTAATACCACAGGTTACTGGTACAGAACCTATTCACAGTCACAAGAACCTATTCCCATGTTATTGACACGAGCGTCCCAGCACTGATGTGTTTTAGGGGGATCAGAGATAAGGCGGCGGTGGGGAAGAAAGTCCGATTCAGTCCGGGTTTAGAGCTAAAAGCCAAACAACCAGATGTTGCGTGCGGTTATCCCACAAGATTATAAAGAAAGAAGAAAATGTTCACAGTGGAGAGTTATTTTCACTGCAGACAACATTTGTGTTCACTGATCCAGAGCTTTTCCTTGAAAGGAAAAGAACGAATTACACAAATCAATCATTGCTGGTGGGGCGGCATATGACACCAAGGACGTCAGCTGCTATTACATCAGAAAAACAAATATGGAGGATAAAACTAGAACTAAGCAGCTAAAAAAGACCATGTGGGTCATTTTTGCTTCAGGACAACAGAGGACATGAAAGGGATAAGAGAAAGTCTAGTTTTTCCCAAAACAAATATATTGTTGTAAAGGACAAATGGAATAGAATCAGATTGTGTATAAAGACAGAAGACATCTCCACTTCCATACTAAGTTAAAAATAACATCACTTAGTTGGTGAGACAGAAAACACCCGTGTTTCAGTCTAACAGAAGAATTAAATGACTTTTCCGCTGCATATTCACCTTTCTTCAGGTCAATCTTTATCCGCTTGCCGCCCTTCTTGCTGGTCAGGTTCGCCAGGCCGGGAGGGACGGGGCTCCTGGATGCCGGGGAGGAGCTTGCTGTCCTGGCTGAAGGTGTGGGAGAGGAGCCATTACTGGACTGGAGCTCATCTGCTGGTGCGTTTGCCGCAGGTGGCTCTGGGGTCTTGGCACGTGTGTCTGGTCGCCTCACTTCTACGTTGCTGTTCAGTTTGGAATGTGGTTTTGGCTCCGGTTGTGGGTCTGTTTTGACGCGGACCAACATCGGACTCTTTGCTTTTGCTGAGAGGTCTTTGGCATCGCCAGTGAAGAGGTGACCGATGAGGCTCTTCTCGTAGCGCAGCTTGTTGGGTACAGGGACGACCTCCAGACGTACGGAGGACGCGTTCATGGCCTGGCGGAACACTTCCTGCGAGCTAGAAGATAAGAAAAATAAAATTTTGGGTTTTCTAGTCATGGACAAACTCAGAAGAGGACATCTGATTGATGCAGAGGCATTGCAAATACATTTTCAAACACTACAAAAGTGTAAAAATAAAGAAAAGAGCTTGAGAAAGTCAAGCAGAACACAGAAGGAGAACAGAACAGAGTGAATGAGGCCTGTGTGTAGTTAATGGAGCTCAGTTTCAATTTGGATTTGGACTCTTCCAGCTGGTTTGGGACACGGTGGTCCCCGTCAGATGGAGGAGGACTTTACAGCAGAAGACTACCAGCAGCACAACATTAACACAACACAGTTAACACAGCGGGATGCAGTTAAATGGACTTATTTAGTGAGGACAGAGAAAGTAAAGGAGGCTGTGTTTGTTTGAAAGACGGAAAAATTAAAAAGAGAGAGAAGAGGGTAGATGTGGTGGAGAGATACGACAGGCGGTGAATGAGGAAGATTTATCTTTGTCTGATAGAGGAAACAATTTTGAGTGACAGGTGAGGGATCTTGCTACGGCGGCGGAGGATGAGTGGGAGACACACAAACACATAAACAAAGACTGAAGATGTTATTTTCCTGCTTTTGAGGCTTTCGTTTAAAATCTCATCACTGTCGCATAAAGAAATACTAATTTCTAGGGCTGTGTTTCGACATCAACTTATTACTCATTTTGCATCTACACTGCGGACAGATGGGCAGTAAATCAATTCAGTCGACAGAGTGAATGAAAACTAGAATGTGACGAAACTGATCCTTTTAAACCATTTAAACCACTTTGCTTATCTGCCAACATGAGACTTTCACAGATATATGGGTATTAGTGTTTATGTTTGCCGATATGCAAGGATATAAAAACGTTTCATTTACAGAATAAATAATGCAGAGAAGATTCACGTTTACATTCTACGTCTTAAACATCCAGTAGCTTATCACACTAAAAGTCTTCTGTGTTTGCATATTCAAAAAGGTGTGTCCCCTAATGGCCTTTAAAATGGCCTGTAAAATGGCTGTAGATTTAATTAGTGATTCCAAATGATTCCGATTGCCCAAATATTAGTGTTTCCTTGCTTTGACGCAGACATGAACATAGAAAACATAGACATCCAGCTCATCCCCCGCTCAGCGTCCTTACTGTGTGAATGTCTTGTCCTCGAGTGGAGTGTCGTTGATTTGGACGATACACTCGTCATCTTGAAAGATATTCTCTCGCTTGGAGCGACTTTTTTCCTCGATGCCTTTAATGTGAAGGCCCAGGGTCCTTGCGACACACACACACACACACACACACACAGCGTAGAGAGAATATGAATTCAGGTAAACACACATATGATTACATGACAACACTTGACAACACATTTCTACGAGTCAACATTGCCATCTGCTTTTCCTTATGAATGTCTGACTGATTACAAGTGGTGGGAGTTGAGTGTTTATATATATATATATGCACGTGTGTGTGTGTGTGTGTGTGTGTGTGTGAGTGATTACCGTCCACTGAGAGAGGAGCAGTAGGGGACCACGTGGATACCCAGGGGCCCCTGGTCACCTGCAATCTCCACCGTCCTCGTCAGGGTGCTGTCAACAAAAACAGAGAAACTCACTCACTGAGAAATAAACACCCGCAGACAAAATTTGAATTTTTGACACTGAAAATGAGGATGTATGTTAAAGTTGTGCACACAATCATAAAAACAGTGATGTGGTCACACACACAAACACACAAGCTTTCTATGTACAAGCTCTTCAAAACATTTGCATTTTACTCCAGGCTGCAAAGAGAGGCATCCAAATGAGCTTTCCGAACAATGTGTTTGTGTGTGTGTGTGTGTGTGTGTGTGTGTGTGTGTGTGTGTGACTGGGCCACAGGTGGCTACTTCACCCTTAAACTACCTGCGTCTCGACCACCCAATCTAGCCGGTGGACAAAAGAAGCGAGAGCAGGAGATAAAGGCGACAGACAGATAGATAGAGCAGATAGAGATGAAATAGAATGAGCTCCTCTAATAATCCCTGCCGAGGCCTGAACTGTGGCTTTTAACGGCAGATAAACAAGGACAACAAGCTTTTGATATGAGATGGAGGAAAGAGGGGACAAGCAGAGAAGAATTTCGAATTTTTTACCACCAGAAATCATTACACAATCATCAACCAAATCATAACTATATAATAACATATAATGTCTTCTGTGTACAATTTGTTTTGTCGAGGAAGGAGATGGAGTTAAGTTTCTCATTCTGTGTTTTATCAACTATTTTCATGCAGCCTCTACACTGCATTAGAGAGAGGAATAGAGACCAAGAACAGAACAGCTTTATTTTTCCTTTCCTTTTTCATTCGTAGCTTTTATAAAGCTTGCAAATAAACAAGTGATGAGACGTGTGTGTGGAAAATAAAGTGTGAAGTTCAACGTGTGTGTGTTTACTTCACATACACAAGTCCAAGGACTGGCTGGGATCATTATAACACACTCCTCTGTCACTGTCACCCTGCTCTTGTTAACCTCTGCCAGGGTCACACACACATACTGTACACACACACACATACATACACACACAAACTTATGCACACACACGCCCAATTTGCATTCTTATTGCTACATCTATTGCATGCTCACAACACCATCAGTCACATTCCTCTAAATTGAATTCACGGATACACACATGCATCAAATTTACATCTATTAAGGAACACAGTTACATCTAAATTGCACATGTGCACAACACACACACACTCTTTGAATTTACTTTCATTGATGATAAACAATCAAGTCAGGACAAGACAGACACGCACACAGAGCTAGTCCTGAATGATGTATATTCCGCAGTGTGCGGCACATACAAACACACAAACACACACTCAGCCCATTTACATTCATAGAAGAAATAAATGGCGACACAAACAAGCTCATCACAGGCAGCGGCGGCTTGTTAGCGCAGCACGCTAATATGCAGAATAGCTCAGCTCACCCGTTTCAGCATCCCACTGATACAAACACAAACAAACAGTCATTCCACTGGGAGCAAAGACTAAACGAGGACCGAGACAGATGGAGCTCCCCCTTTGGGTTGACTTCCTCTAGATCGGCGGCGGCAGAGTGCCTAACGAAGTCGCGGCCGGGACTCGCAGGAAACGTGCCCCCGCTCGCTTGCCGTGGCGTCCTCAACCGCCGACCATCTGTTTTTATGGCAAACTATGGTAGAGAGCCATGCACTCTATTGTATCACAGCGCTGTCAAGACACTGCTGTAGTGTAAAACTCTGAAAAATCTGTCACACCAGCCAAGACTTCTCCTGAGCACAGCTGAGTTAGTTTTAAAAAGAACAAGTTTTAGGGGGTTTTCATGAGCAGGAAATCAGTTGGCGGCAGAGGGTGTCAAAGAATTATCTGTACTCTTGTCACGGGCTTGCTGGAAGAGACAGGTGAAGGGTTGTGATGGACGGGTTAGGTGTTGCCATGGATACAGCGTGACTGACAGCAGGGAGAAATGAAGATAAAACTCCCATCGTTCCAGAGGTGTGCGGGTGACGCGCCCAAAAACAGAGGTGGTGGAGAGGAGGTTGCCATGGTGAGATGCCTGTGCATGCCCACATACAGCAGTCTCATTCACAGAATTGATTTCTGTCTGATGATTTTGAGCTCACTGGATCGATAAATAACAAAACTTTCTTTACTACGGTTTTAGTAATTTATCAGTTGACTTAGTAGAAAACAAATTATTAACAAATATGATTTTCTTGATCATGTATTTCTTGACATTTTCTTATATAGCTGTACTGCACATATTTTTTTCCAGAATAACCAGGGTGATTTTAAAATTATGAAATATTTAAAGGGGCAATTTATAAATAAACTAAAATTATTAAAAGAATGTGAAGAAATAAAAGTTTTAATGTCACATTGAAGACAAATAGAGCTTCTGCCTGTTCTGTCTCGTAATAGCACTGCAGCTCGTGAGGCAAGCATGAGAGGATGAAGAAGAAGTGTGATATATGTGATAAATAGTATATAACTTTGTGAAGCAGCCGTCCTCTGTCAGTGACGTTCCTCCGCTCTATCCTCAAGCTCAGTAATTGCTGTTATTGCTCTCCCTCTTGTCCCTCAACCTGTCATTGCTCCTTGTTTCTCATGATGGGGTGAAGGACCAAACTTTCTGGGAGGACTCAGCCTTCTATTTCTCTGGAGTTGGCTAATTCTTGAGCATCGTTTATTCTCACTACTCCCGTCCTTGCACGCAGCAGAACATGCCACAAACTAGATCATTTCTGCAATCTAAAATCCAAATGCAGTTTTTAAAAGTCAAGACACCGAATATGATCATCAGTTCCAGAACGTTAATCCAGCTAATGAGTGAAATCTGTGAGGGTCTATGGGCTATTAACAGCAAAACCAATCAACGTTACTCTGTGGGCTGTGACAGAAGTCAAGTCAACCTTTCTCATGCAATAAGAGTCCAGGGTCAACACCTTAGATGTCAATCACTTGCATCATAAGCTGACATAGTCCTCTCGTCTGTCCTCCCAGCATTAGAGTGTAACTCAAGTTGTTGGAAGAACCATGATGTTAACCACAAAGAGGGTTATTAACTGATAAGGATTAGCCATATGTACACTGACAGTTTTAATAATTAAAATAAAAATCAATATATTAATTGATAATGAAAATCTTGATCTCTATTCTGAGGATGAAAATCGTGGTTCTCATTTTTTTTCCAGCAGCCCTCACGTAAACCTCACCTTGCCTTGTCTACAATAGACTACAAACATGGCTGCTCACTCGCTCCTGCTGTAAATTGAACTATTTTTAGATCTTTAAAAATCCATTTATCGTTTAATTAATTTCATCATCTTATTATTGATGTAACTTATACTGCTTCAGTCTCTATGTCTTACGGGAAGCATTTTGTATTATCATGAAATCTGCCATACAAAGAGACACTATCTAACCCACCACACACACACACGCGAGACCGTTTAATCCAGAAACAGTGTCAGGCTGTAATAGAAAGACTGGAGTGTTAATCCTAGTCTCCATCACTGCACCGCACTATGAGCTGCTTGCTGCTGCATTAACATCACAACAAGCACAAACACACACACACCTGCACACCCACTCTTACCTGAAGTTAGCCTTGCTCATCTTGGCAGGTGGGTCGTCGGTGCGCAGTCGGTCCAACGCTCCTTTCAGTACATGGTTGATTTCCTGTAAAAACAAAGAGAGAAACATAAGTCATCGAGCATGTGATGAATTGAAACTGTCCTACATTCGCACACACACACTCAACGCACCGTAGCCCGTCAGTTAACAGGAGGAGGCCCGCTGCCTATTAGCAAAACAAACTAACGACAACATCAATCACCTTCGCAGAGAGAACGATCGCCGGACGCTTCGCCTCCTACCACGCGCCCCTGTCCCTTCTTTCTCTCTGTCTATGTATTTTTCAATCTATCTACCTCTCCCTCCCCCTTCCCTCCATCCCCTGCCCCGTGTCAGGCAAGGCTCTATTTTAAGTCGGCACAAAAAAATCAACAACCCGGGGGCAAACAAACAAGGAAGATAGAGGAGAAAAAACGACGACAAGGAACGACAGCGTCAAACTGTTGGCGAGACGCTCAAGCGAGCTCCAGGGGCCGGCCGAGAGAAATTGCCCCAATTCGCTAAAAACAAGAAGGGTGCAATTAGGTTCTTCTGCCTTGTCACTTTCATTGTGTCACCAGTACTAATGGCTAAAACGCTCCCCGCCCACCAGCCCGCTCCTTAGCAACCCCCTCCACCACCACCACACCCAACTCCCCGGTGGACCCTCTGTCACACACGGGGTAAATATATGCTTTGGAGCACGCGAACGCCCCCCACGCATACATTTCCTGCAAATATAACCTCCACGAATTGACTCTGAAGAGCTGCAAAATGTGTGCTTATGAACACACACATGCTGCCTGCACAAATAGTGACCCACTTATCTGGGCAGTGTGAGATTACCCCACAATAGAGCGCATGTGTGTGCGGGGGCAGAAGGATGAGCTGGAGGCTCCATTGTTGCTGTGCATCTTCCCGCAACGCCATTAACCAACACACACACACGCAACACACTCTTCTCCTCCTGCAGTGCACACACACTTCATCACAGGACGAAGTACTGACACAGCCTTTGGGAACACAAGCTTGGCAGGAACACGTGTACACACATCAAAAACACACTGTACATCGACTTTTGTGGGAATTGTGGCATGAAACTGAAATGTACCAACACAGACACGTGGCACAATAATATAAAAACCCTTGAATGTCTGCTTCAGAGTAAGGGCAGCACCTGTATTATGTCAAATATGGCATGTGCGCATGTATACATATATAAACACACAAAATTAAAAGGGATCACGCCATAATGCCCATTGTGGCTCTAATCCCTGATTGAAAGCAGTCCTGTTGTCGACATAAAACAGCAGCTCTCCTCTTAGGAAGCCCCGCTGTGCTCAGCCAATCAGCTTCTCCCGCTCGCATCTCAACACACTAAGAAGAAAGACTTGTGCCCTCCCAGTCCCCACAAGTACGTCCTAATGCTGCTTATATGTCTTTAACCGTAGAACAATCACATGCAGTAGATCGCATTGTGTTATTATTAGTAGTAGTAATAGTAGTGGTATTTAAGTGTATTTGATTTGTCATGTTTCTGTAAATAAAATAAAAGATTTGATTTAAAAAAATGCTTGGTTCTTCCTGAAAGGTACAAACAGCAGGCATTAGATGTTGGTCAGATTTCTTAACCTGCCTATTTACTATTCAGATCAGATAACTGCAGGTTTAAATAAACAATACAATGAATTTCAATTTCTACTATTTCATTTAGCCCAAGTTCTTGAGAGAGCGTTTACATTTAGACAAGATTTCATGTTCTTATTTTTTGCTATATTAATAACTGTACTGTGTGAACATGTGGCTATATACACTAAGGTACTGAATCCCAGGTATTATTCTGGCTCTTGTGTTGAAAAATACCATAAAAATATCTACCACTTCAACTGACACTTTAATTATAATCTGTGCTCACACATCAACTGATACTACACTCAGTACTTACTAGGGCGTATACTTCAGCTCCTTTCCACACTTTCCTTTAGGTGTTTTAACTTAAACTATATCTCAATACATGTCAAACAAGAATCAAGATTTGTGACAGTTTCCATCTGAATCGTCCGCAGAAATCATGGTTTGTTTAGTTTTGATATAATCTATGTCCTTCACTGAGAGATTGGAGTGTGGCAGGGTTTCTGGGTTGGGATGAATGCTCAAATAATTTGTGAAACCTGTCTAAGCACAACTAACAGGTTGTCTGCTCCGTTACTGTGTTGCACACAGTTTTCTGTGTGCAATTCAGGCGCCATTTGTAGTGAGGTATGTGTGAGTGACAGGGTTGTGTGCAGGCACATGAGAGATGAGGTGTGTGGGTGTGTGGGTGTGTGTGTGTGTGTGTGTGGTTGTCAGATGGATGAATAATGAGGTGTGCGTTTCTTTTGTGCACTTCCTGAGCGCTGTAGACACTATTCCTCAAGCGTCTAACATGTAGCAATAGTGTGTATGTATGTGTGTGTGTGTATATGTACATACACCGCAAGATCACAGCTTCAGTCTGCCAGTGCTACCTGACCCCAGTCATATCCATCACATCACCTGACTGAGAAAACACAATATGCACATAGTATAGCAGTGCAATCCTCGAGGGGCACACACACACGACATATCTAACACACACTGCAGATAGTTAAGGTTTCAGCTTCTCGTATCACTGCTGAAGCAAACATCAACATGAGTGTAACATATGAAAGTCCCCAATTCCTGCTGCGTTAACATGTGTTGCATCACTGCACCTCTAGAGGCTGAAAACCTGCAAAAACAAATGGGAGGGTATCGGGACGCGAGGAGCCAGAGAAGAAACGTAACAGGGATTGAAAAAAGGAAAAGCTATGGCAGTGAAAACTCAGCCGCTCCTGCTGTTAACGGCCAACATTAAGCGTCTCATTTAATAGCTTTGATCATGGCAGGAAGTACAAAATCAATTAATGGCTGCGTGTTTTAGCAGCGCTCAGCCTTTTGCCAATTTCATTAACTCTTCTGATAAAGACGACTAAGAGTGTGATGTGCGCCAACTACATGCGAATCAAAGACGGAGAGAAGTGGGCCAACCTTGGCCTTCAACATCGCAGCCGGTAAAATCAATTTGAGGGGCCGACCGCATATTTATCACTCTATCAGCCTTGATTAGACTTTATCTAGCTTTCAATACCTCCTCCAAGACAAAGAGGGGCTGAAGTGTGTGTGTACGTGTTAGTTAAAAGTGTTTAAGTGTGTGTTTGTGTGAGTGAGTGAGTGAGTAGAGGTCTGCAGAGGAGAGGTACAGTGGATGAGTGAGGATGAAGTGATAGTGTATTGATCTCTGGAAGTCCATCAGGCCTTGGACTCGATATGGCTGTGAGCTGTGACGGCCTCTTCGCCATTTACACACACAAACACACATGTTCAGACACTCACACTAGACCGGGTTACAAAGATCCTTTGCTCTGCATCCCTACACTCTTAATTATATTGCTACTGTACTTGTAAGCAATGATCTCTCAAATGCTGAACTCTGATTGCAACGGTTAAAGAAGTTTTATTTTGAAAGAGCGAAAGTTCAGGGTCACTGTGTCTGCTGAAGTTTGTGTGATATGATCGTGTTGACGAGCAGATAGCATAGCATGTAATCCATCATCGAAAGTAATTCACTGTAAGAAGCATGATAAATACTCAAATATGATTCATTGATTTTACATCAGGTTTGATGTAATGATTAAGGCCGCCATTTTCTGTCCGAGCCCGAGAGAAAACTAACACAGCCTAATATCGCTTCAAAATGTTTGTCTGAACCCGGCCAGAGCCGTCAGCACCCCTCTGGTCGAGTATCCAAACTCTAATGTGCGGAAGTATCCCTGAGCTACAGCAACTGTCTGGATTAAAATAAGGCTTCATGTGTCAGGCAGCTGAGGGATGTAGCTTTTGTTGTAAAGACATTTTGTATCATCTATAATGAAGCTGTTCACTCTGTCCAGGCTGTTCTGTTTGAAGGGTATGAGGAACTCGAAATATGTTAACTCGCCGCCCGCTGATGTCTGGATTCTGCTTAGTCACCACTTTGTCGGACACGGCAGGGGTAAACAAGGGGACTCCTTCTCTTTCCTCCTTCCTCTTATGTGAGTTTCCCTCACACACACACACACACACACACGCACGCACAAGAAAAGGCAGCAAACAAAGTTCCTCTGAGTGGCGGCCTCTTGAAAAGACGACCCTTTCAAAGTACAGCCCGAGGCTCGGAGCTGGACTGCAAGAAGAATATTCAGTGGGTTTCTCTCTTTGTCGTCAGAGAGGGGACTGGTGCACACACCACAGACTTAACAAGAAACTGCAATGGTACATTTTATTTACATTTTCCAACTTTGTCTCACTGAAAATTGGACTAGTTTGAGCTGTCTTTGCTGTTTTGTTTTTTCTCAAAAAGCAATAAAATAGGGGAGGATATTGATAAAATACAGTAGAAATGGCCTTAAAATGTGCATCACTGGCATCTTTAATTTGCTTGAAACAAAAAGAGCAGATTAGTTTCAATAAATATTATTAGGTGACGCGTATAATTTTATGCCACTGTGCTCACCTGTTCAGGAGATCCATTCCGCTGGTCCACAGGTGTCCGTGCGTCCGTCCTCTCGTGAGAGGGAGCAAGAGCCGAGTCGCTGCTGCTCCTCACCATCAGAGGTGTATCTGGGGTGAGAGAGGTGAGAGTTGAGAGCAGGGAGAGACAGAGGGGACGCCGAATAGCAGAAGTTTCATATTTGATATTTTCTCCAAACTCTAAACACATGGAGGATCATCGCAGGAGGTGAAGAGAAGACAGGAGGAGGTGAAAAAGAAAAGTAAGCGTGTGACGATACTCCAAATTAACTTTTTTGGTCTGTGTGGGTTTTCGATACGCCCAATGATGGAAGATAGTAAGATAATGGGAGGGTGGGAGGATGGATGGATGGATTGTGGACATTTATATCATGGTTTCGGCCTTGGTTACAGAATCATTACGGCCCTGAAGGAAACAGACATCTTTTGGCAACTTTTCACAGTTGGTCATCTTGTTGAAATGAGCATCAGGGAAGCTCAGAGGGCCAGACAGACCCCTGAGGCTCTCTGCACGCTCTGCAAGCAACTCACACCAGAGCACCAAAGGAAAGGAAATTGCAAGATCTTTCCACCTGAAAATAAACTTTTAAAATGAAAATAAAAAGGAGGAGGATGGAATAACTGGTTCCTTATTCAACATTTTGCAGAAAACTCTAAATACTGTAAGTGAGATGAGATACATTTAGCTTCAAGACACTGTAAACCCGCTGTGGAGGACCACCACCCACCCCTTCCCTTACATCAAAACGCCCAAACCCCACACCCACCCACAGGGTACATTTTTCATATGGCCAGCTGTTCCCTCAAATTCACACACACATACACACACACACAGAGTTTGGAGAGGGAGAGGTAACATGGGCAGGTCTAAATCCAAAATTAAACCAACTCAAAAGAATCTAATTTGGACCTTTGTGCCGCTTTCTTCCTTTTAATATCCACCCCGCAGGGAGCAGCCTGGTATTTGTGGAAGCAAAAACCCATAGTGGGGCTGTTTTCAAATTCAACTCGACAGAGTAGAAAATAAAGACAGGGGAGAGGAGGGGGTAAAAAGCTGAGAGTGTTAGCCAAACAAAAAGAGAAGGAGAATGTGGAGAGATAGTGACAGAGAAAGAAAGAGAGAGGGAGAAAACCTTGAGAAACAGAAGGGACCACAAACAAAAATTCTCTTTCCTGTAATCAATCTCTCTTTGGAGGGTCAGCGACGGGGTCCTGGTCTAACGTGGTCGGAATAGAGAGCAGAGGAGGAGAACAAGTGGGAGAGAGGGAGCTGGTAGGGGTCACGGTGTGTGTGTGTGTGTGTGTGTGTGTGTGCGCACATGAGTGTGTGTGTGATTGTAGACGGATGACAAATGGTCATTCCTAACATTTCAGACACACACACACAGATCAACCCTCAAACACACCGAATCACATGTTGATCCAATTATTATCATCATAAACGTCAGTCTCTTCCTCTACTAAGAGTGAATGTAAACGACACAATGCTGACTTTCAAAATGCGCGTATCTTTTAATAAGAGCTCATTTTGTGTCTGTATTGTGTCATTTTATTTAGAATATCAACACAACATGGTCTATTGAGAAAGAGCAGACCTCATGTTGAAATGTTGGACAGAAGTGACAAAAAAACAGGATGTTTTGCAATAATGCAGTCATGAAAATGTGCTTAGACTCAACACAGATTGTTCTGTCAAGGCAGAAACTGAGAGCAGGCATCAGAAAATATCACCAGAGAGCGCTTCTGCTTATCAATGGCTTCTGCTTTCTCCATCTGTTCATCATGTGTGCATGTGAAATAGGTCAAACACTTTCCGCAGATACTTTTCAAGCATGTTAAATTTGTCTTTTCGTTCAGATCAACGTGAAATCTGCATACACACATTTTTCCAGTAAAGTCCACACTGGAGACTGTATATAAAGATGGACAACGTTTTTCCACCCCATCCCCAGAAATTAAGCCAAAACACCCCAGAAACAAACGCCGCCATCTTCTGCACTTGAAGACGATCGGGTGATGGATTTGCTGTGTCGATACACGAGCTCGACCAATTTACGAGTCAGTCAACTAAAATGACAGAAACCCTCTTTTGAGAATACATTTGACATGTAAGTTGACTTCTTTGTTTGGGTCATGTCCCATCTGCTAATATGGAGGAGCTAGGATTAATAAAGGATTAACCAGGACGCTTTGGCTTCAATTCTGGGAGCTGCCATGTCGACCATCTTTAAATACAGTCTATGGTCTACCTGACAAGTTCATGTGACCTCAACTACAAAGACAAATGCTACATTAGGTCCCAAAATGACTTGATTTTACAGATAGTTAATAATGAACTGTGAGCAATGACTGATTTCCCGAATAAGGCAACATCTCCTCAAGGTTTGACAAACACACTAATCCTTCACCACAATGTCAACGATGCAACTTTCTGAAGTGACCAAGGCCGCTCCATGGTCACAGTCAGGGTCCATTACCCAGCAGCCAGCCCAATAAATCCTCCTCCATTTATTCATCACAGTCAAATCCGCCTCCATCAATCCTCCCACTATTTAGACCTCAGAGCCCGTCCCGGCCATGTGAAGGAACCTGAGGGTCCCTGGCTTTGACCTCTGAACTGTGCAGGGTCGAGCGGTGTCACCGAGGGTTAGGGATATTGATGAGAGTGACAGTTGGAAGTCTCACAGGTCAGCCACCGTTTGGACAGTCGTAAACAAGATAGAATCCGCGGAAATACCAATCGAAGGGGAGTGGGCTGCAGGAAAAGGGGCTTCTCTGGGCGGTTTAATTAAGTTTGTTTATTTTAAGACCAGAACACGCTGTCTTCTGATAAAAGGGTGGAGAAGAGGTGGAGGCAAAGAAACTCTGGATGTGTTTTAGGTTAATTTGATGGAACTGTAAACTGAACCTTTAAATAGACCCCACCCAACAAACTCATCTCTGTGACCACTTCAATGCCCGACAAAGAAAACACTTTGAAACGCACCCAAGTTGTGTTCTTCACTCTCTCCCTTGAGATCTGTGCAAATGGAGAGATCTGAGGAGGCCTCGCCAACTTGTGCCGGTCTGCCTCCGACTCCATCTGCGGCTTCTGTCTAACTAGGCTGCTTATGCAACTCTGGGAACACAGCGGTTTATTTTAAGAGTTTCCTCTTGTTTTCACTTCTGTGGAAGTGTTGTGTTGCTGCGCCGCTAGTTCACTGCCCGGGCAGGATGAAAAAACAAGGGCGCATCATGTTTCTGGCAGACTCTGTGCGTGTGTGTGTGTGCTCTACGTGTATCTGGGTACACACTTTAATCAGTGTGTGTGCCTTTGTTTGCCTTTCAGTTTGCATGTGCAAGCATGCGTGTATGCTGTGTGTGTCCTGTATGTACATTTATTACCAACAGAGACTTTTTGTGGATTTATATTTGTGTGTGTGTGTGTGTTTTTCGTGCCATGGGCCAGGGTGGTCTTGTTTCTCTGGCAATCGATAGAGCAGCTCTGGCTCAGGCTGCTCATGGGATGATGCGATAAGGACTCTCTTCCTAGAAGTGTGTGTGTCTGTGTGTGTGTGTGTGCCAGCAGATCAATGCGGGTGTAATCATCCCACCGGGGCAATGTGAAGTCCAATCACCCTGTTCAAACAAGCGGCCCAACCTGACACACAAACACTTTGATGGCTGACTGATTACTGAATTACTTCTTGCCCTATCTGCCACCACTCAGCAGTACCACTTGCCCACTATAACCAGATTATTGTGAATAATCAGATTAAGGTAATAGTGAGATTAAAGCATTCACGTGGTTTGCAGTAACCTAATTTCACCAGTTACCCGAGTTTACGTGATCTGTTCATACATGGGTTAATGTCTGACAGGATGTGTTGTAGACATTCTCATTATCCCACACTGCAACTATCACTTCCTCAAAGCACATTATACTAATAGTGAGAAAGTTGAACAGGTTATATTTACCCATGTATAATGAGTTCATGTGTTATATGAGAGCTATAGTACAATACTCACTATATTTGTTCCCTAGAACCTTCCAAGAGGTGGATGGGTGACGGCTTTGTGTGCATTGGGTTGTTTAACTTACGTGCTGCAGTTCTTTTGTTGTATTGCATGCATGTGCGCATGTCTGAAACTCAAAGGAGCGGCCTTATTGCATTAGTCTGCCTCTGTATGAGGGGCGTCACAGGGTCACATCATAACTAAGTTAGTCAGGGTTCAACGGGGCTAGAGAGCTGGGGTTTTGTGGGGGGGTGGGGGTAGGAAGAGGTCCCACTGGGTCAAAAACGGGGTGGAACGGGTGTGTGTGAGAGAGAGAGGGGGGGGGGGGGGATTAGTCCATTCACGCTCTGCTGGACCCTGGGCATGCTGACAGGCTGCAGTGCTAATCTAGTTAGAGGTGGAAGCCATGCAGAGACTAGGGAAGCAGGGCATGATGGGAGGCTGGGGACAGAGTAGGTATCTGGTGGGAGTGTGTGTGTGTGGGGGTGATGGGTGAGGGTCTCGGGGGCCGGGTGGTGAGTCTGTGGATGGCAGGTGGTTGAGGCTGAATAGTAGAGTAGGTGAGAAATGGCAGACTGGAGTGAGGACGGACAATGGGGAGTGGGGCAAAAGTGGCAAGAGGGAGAGCGATGGCAAAGGCCAGGTGTGTGTGTGTGTGTGTGTGTGTGTGTGTGTGTGTGTGTGTGTGTGTGTGTATGGCAGTGTCAAACTGTGTCTGTGTAGCCAACAGATGGAGGAAGCAAAATGGTAGGGTCATTAGACAGACCCATGTTCATTTACATCTAGCCTCATCTTTTATTTTCTCCTTAATCATTTTATTAAAAAAAAAAAATCAATGAAAGGCTCTAGAATAGAAAAGAAAGACGTGCACAGATAAAAATCCCGCTCCAGATCATTTACAGTCAAATGTATCTAGAACCAGAACAAACTGCAGCCCAGACAGAGCAGAGATTTCCCCAGACGCTCCCTTACACTTCCGACTGTCTAGCTTTGTGATGATGCTTCCCTCTGGAGATGCACTGTGACCCACTAACTTGTTCATTCCATTTCTTTAATGCAAAAATATAAATTTTTAAACTGCATTTTTGTGTCACTATCTCCACACACTAGGTTCGTCAAACTGTCATTCTCTCTTACCTTGTAGTATCTGCTCTGCACAGGGAATCAAATCAAGTCACTGACCTGCCACCATAACCTCTGATTTTACAAGCAAACAGAATTTCCCTGCAGAAGTTTAATGGACTAATACACTGTGGCTACGTTCACATATATTTTTGGTTTGGTAGCTCAAACTATTTCTTGTAATGTGGCCAGAATGAGGTCACATGCATCTAACCTGTATTGGATTTGGACCACATATGAAAGTGGACCTAAACAGAATTGGAAAAGTTCTGATTCCACTTGACCATGGTGAAAAAAAACTGAACTGAGACACATAAGAGCAAAAAGAAAAATGCAGTCTGAACATAGCCTGTGATACTTCTCGATAAAAACCTGAAGCGAGGGAGAATATATTTAGACACAGTCGAATCTGAATACAAAAGTGCTTGACGATGGATTTTAAGCATCTTTAAAAACGGCTCTGGATAAGAGCAACATCAAAATACCAAAAAATACAAATGCAGAAGCAAGGCGGTTTTAAAATAAATTTAGAAAAGCATAGACAGAATGAAACGATGGAAAAAATAAATAAAAGGTTGTTGACACGAGGAGAACAGAGCAGAGGCAGGAAAGATGCAGCGCAGCAGGATGAAAATGACAGTCATGCATCTTGAATCAAAAATCGGATTTCCTCTTATGTTTCAGGCAGCCTTTTCCTCAAATTAGCAACCACTCAGTTTTCCATTCGTTCTGTGAGATCTACAGATATCACTTTGTTTCCACTCTCCAAACATCACACCCGCTTTTCATTTCTACTATTGCATGAAACAAATGACATGAGCAGAGATATTTTGAACGTTTACTGAATTAAATCAAAATTTCTCAATCACCTTTGCAGTGGGTTTAACTATTGTATGAGAGTGAAAACAACTTTGAGGAACATGAAGTGAGAACGACACAAGAGAACCCTGTGTCAACGGTGCATCTGTTTTTCAGACGCCATGATGTCACAGGCAACAATCGCTTTTTGTGCAGGAGGTTCAGATTACAGCTGTTCCACAATCTCACACACACTCACACACCTAATGCTGTTTCACCATCTCTGCATTTCTCACACTCACAAAAATGTGAAAGTGTTGATTGAGCATTGCTCTTTGGGTGTTGGAGATTTTTCTCTTTCAATTAAAACTGCAACTTGTACATATATTCATACAGAGGGATATTTAATAATAATCATTTACATATAATCTATGAGCTTTAAATGCTATTTCCTTGAGATGAGGAGGAAACATTTGAAAGCAGATCTGACGTACTTGCTTTGAGGACGGCCTCGTTGACTTCAATCTCTCCTCTGCTTGGCTCATGGTACATTAGGTGGGGATAGTAGTGAACCGGCTCTGGGCTGGGGGCCGGGCTGGAGTAGTTGGACGAGTTCTCTCTGGGACTGTCCGTCCTCCCAGGCCGGACTCTCTCGAACACGGCAACCAGCTGGAAGAGACACACACAGTCCTAAATGATCATGCAGATGATGGGAAGCTTGCCTCAAGGTGAGTGTGAGAGTGGAAACAATGTGATTTCTGGCACATGAGCGAGCTGGATAAACGCTGCCAGGTTCTGTAGCTGTAGTTTCCACTGCGCCATGATCACAGTGCAGCTTTTATGTGATTTATCCAGCGAACAGTGCAGATGCAACCTGCTTCTTTCTGCCAAGTGTGCAGATGTGTGTGTTTGTGCGTGTGAGGGAAGCAAACAAAGCTGGATCCATAGCTCATCTCCTTCTTACGGTGCAGATGGAACTTCAACAACTTCTTCCTTCCTGACCAAAAGAGGAAAAAGTGATCGGGCCGAGCGTTGGTTCAGAGGAGTTAACACGCAGCAAGGCGCGGCGAGGTGTGCATGTATGAAATTAACAGTCAAATGAGATCTGACATGAGAATGAGAAGCTGCCAAACACAATGACACGGCTGCCACGATGAGGTGGCGGGAAGAGACGGGGGCGGCCAAATCAACAGGGGATGGAGGGCAGGAGAACGACAAACAATCCTAATTGAGACAGGGACATGATGGCAGATAGAGCGAAGGTGAATGTGTGTGTGCGTGATGACTACGGGACCGTGCCATCGAGGATGCGTGGTTTGATAAATGGGAGCGTGGCGGCGTGACGCTCTCATTAGACGGTGCTGGTGAAGGAAATGACCACTTAATGAAAAGCAATAACCGCATAGACCAGGAGGATAGGAAGGGAAACAACAGACGAGTGGAAGACGTCCATTAACAACAAAGGAGTGTGGAAGCCAAGTGTGTGTGTGTGTTTAAGTGTGTAAACAATAAGCACGGAGGAGGCGGCAAGATATGTATCATCCATCATGTTGTGACGCCGCCTTTCACCTCAACCTCCCGTGATTCAATATCCATGTGACACTTGGCCAATGCTAAGCTAAGGAGATGCCTCTACTGCGCGTGTGTGTGTGTGTGTGTGGAGATTAGAGCAAACAAAGGAAGAAAAGATGAGGAATCGAGGGGCTGGCTGATGCAGCGAAGAGAGTGAAAAGAAAAGAGCGAACACCAGGAAAACAATCTGATTGCGCCACTTGATGGATGCATCTCAAGCTCTTTCTCTCTTCTTTATCTGCTTTCCTCTTTCCCTTCTTATCTCCCTCCCTCCCAGAGACCCCGTCTCTCGTTCTCCTAACTTGCTGACGGCATCAATCAAAGCAGAAGTCTCAGAACATCATGTGGATGTGCCGACGAGCCCAGAGCGAATTCCTCTAACGTGCGGAGGGCGGTGATGATGATGATTTGTTTTTCAGGGACTTTATTTTTTATGGCTGACACAGGTGGGGGAGTGATGCTGATGAAGGCCGCCCTGCTGCTGCTCATCATCACTCAATCAAACGCAAAGTATCGACCAAATCACCTGATTTGGAACAACTTGCAGAAGGAAATTGACTTTTCGAGGCACCGTTTTCCATGATGATGATGATGATGAGTTCGCCATAACCATTAATCTGAGCAAGGGCCTTAGCATTTCGTCCAAAATATTCAAAGTCAAAGCTCAGGCAAATAAAGAAAAACACTATTTAACTGAACAAATGTAACTGATCAGTGTTTAATGGACCCAGGGTCATGCAGACCAACAGGGATCCACCATAGCAGACAGCTGACAGCTGCTGATGAGGGTCAAACTGAGGTGAGAAACAGAAAGACAGCTTGTTATAATGCTGATGGCAAACCTTTACTGATTCTGTTCTGTCCAACAGACAAGCTCCAAAAATACAGCAAATACACAACCACAAAATATGTCTGCATGGCTAGATACAATTTAGGGTGATCAATTAGCTGATCAATGACAAGAGACAATAATCATTACAACTGTGAAATTAGAGGAAATTAAACTTAAAGGTGCAATATGTAACTTTGTGTCTCTCAATCAAAAGAATAAAAAAAGACCTAGTTTGATGATGTTGTGAAGCAGCATGGGATCATGGGAGTTGTTGTGTTCAACACCCCTGCGGATGAAAAATCTGCCTGATGCAAATCCTGTTCACGGATGAGGTCAGGGGTTAAAGTTTGACTCATGTTACAAAGCAAAGAGCAATGAATAGAAAACGTGATCTATATAAACAGTGGAAGGTAAAAACAGCTACTGGCTAACGGTGTGTTTTTTGCTTTATCATACGTTGTTTGGCCAGGAAGTTATAGCAGAGACGTACAAAGCGGATACGACGACCAGAACGAAACATCCCGGTACCTTGAATAAAATGGAAGATTTCTCAGGGTATCAGCAATGTTACTATCTAATTTTAAAAAATGGTTTGAAATTCAGTCCTTCAAATACAGCACCAACACGCTGGTCTCCAGGACCCCGTGTCCTGGATGAAAAACAAAACCTTGACTGGTTCACAGTGTGCAGGTTTCTCTCACTCCCTCCTGACTGTCATTAGTATTCCAGGAAACAAATTTGCCTTATTGTTCATGCTGTGTCCAATCGGGGATATTGATATGAACCTGAGGAGCCTGCATGTCAACTACTGCTGAATAATGTGACCCCTTTGTCTCATTTCCATAACACACACAAACACACACACATTCGCAAACCCACACCGATACCTTTCACATACAAATAGCCGAACCTTTCGTATTGTCATGTACTGATCATGCTGTGTGTATCCAACGTGACCAGACTAGCTGGAAGGACTGTGAGTGAATGTGTGTGTTTGTTGCAGAGCCAAAGTGATTATCATGACATACATCACAACAATATATAATATCAGGCGTGAAGCAAAGTCAGTGATAAACACTGTGTAATCGTGTTTGCACTAATTGTCTACACGCTGCCTACAGCGTCAAGTTATAAAATGTTGCAATAATGGGCTGATTCACTTCACTCAGTTTCATATAAAGACAAAAATAAACCAACCCACACCTATTCTATGTTTGGATGTATTTATGCCTTGTTTTAATTTGCAATAAAGTTAATGGATAAGCTGTAAATTAACAAGTCTCACTTACATTGTGTTGTAAGGGTTTGATAAGAACATCTTAGGAATTGCAGCCATTTTTAATACATATGTATACTGGTGTTGAAATAGGTTTACTCCCTGAAATCAGTATAGGCCCCAAAACATAATTTTTTGTATATTTGCTTTATTTCATTAATGTTCTTATTCAGATTATATAAGCTGCTTTACATTGAAGCCTTGTGATTTCCTTTGTACACTTCCCCCGAGTTGATTTAAACGACAGAATTTGTAGGAAGGAATTTTGAGGACAGCTGATTGAATTTTTACCTTTTCATAAAAGATGAGGTGATCATGGGTATTAATGATGCGTCTGTCCTGTGAAGAGAATGTGCTCTCAGTGGTGTAAATGACCTTGTGCGTAACACTGACTCTGCTGTATCCGAGCCTGACCTTTGACCTTTCCTTATTAAAAGTTCTATATACTGTGATCAATAAACTCACTCATTATTATGATTGCTTTCACAGCGTCTGCATGAGCCGACGGCTAATCAGACGCAGAGTTTAAATGCATCACGGTTGCGTTTATTTGAATTTTTAATGGTGAGGATATGAAATGATCCCAGCTGCTGTAAACAGTATATTGTGTTTACATGTTGCGACTCACAGATGGAGCAGTTGAGTGTTTTTAATAATTGATGCACTCGCTAGGAATTAATTACCCGAATGCAGCACGTCCTGTACGGAACACACGAGGGAGAGGACACACACTCATATGGGAAGTTCACACACTGTATAAAAGGCATTACTTAAAAAACTCACAGCTCAGAAAACACAACTGCGGACACTATCTCAAGCGCACACACTTTTCACGGTTAAAGGAGAAACAGTGCCCCCTTGCTTAAGTCAAACACTACTGCAGCTGCTCGTACTACTCAAGTATACATAAGTATGACACACACACACACACACACA